ATTCTGGCATAGGGAACATAAATATGTAATTTTTTTGTTTTATTTTTGATAAAAATATTACTTTAATGCGGTCTTTAAAAATTAAGAGAATAAGAAAGATGCACAAATGTAAATATAATCATTATTTTAATAACTGAAAATTGTGAACTCCCGTGCTCTTAAAGATTAAAACAGGGGGATATAGAGGGAAGAGGGAATGGCCTTGAAGGACAGAGGAAGAGCCACTACCAAAGCAGTGATCAGATAAGAGGAGCCAGAGTCTGGGCCAAGAAAGTAACTTGAGTAAATGTCTCAGACAAGCGTCTCCCTAGTTCACACTAACATATAGTTGCAAAGGGGAGAACCACATTCAGACTTGCAAGATTCTGTCACTATAGCGGTTACAATAAAAGTAATACTGACCTATGTGACATTGGTTTCTTAGTCTTGTCTGCCCTGTAGGACTGCCAGTTGAGGATGATTGTTTAATTGAGTGGTGTCTTCATTTTCTATCATTTACTTCATGCATGACAGCAGAAAGGTTGAGAAACACTGCTGTAATGTTCTTTACACTTTTCTGAAAGGGAGCCCCATTAAGCACAAGAGACTTAGCTTTTATTAAATATACGTAGAATGGTTTGTCCATTAGACATTTGTGAGTGAGACAAGTTCCATATGACTTTAAGGGCATTTCCATTTTTCTTAAAAATGAAAACATATTAGTTAAACAATTTGAACAAACGTTACAGTATTGCCACATTTTAAATCTGAAGCATTACCAGCTCTGTTATTTTTAATGTATGTGAAATTGTGTGTCTTGTTTCTTTTACTTGTGATAGAGAAATTCTTCTGCAAACTTTTTATAACAATTTCAATATGATAACTTTGTATTCTCTTAACTCCTATATATACAGATAAGTAGAAGTTATACTTCCTTGTACATTAAATTGGCTCATTCCATACCAATATGTTGGTATTAAGAAACATTGTTGCTTGAAACATGACTTGAGTCTTTGAGTTGTCTTTATCATAATACTATCTGTGCAGACTATTTTACCTCAGTGGAACATTGCAAAAATATATTGAGATCTTTTTAAGTACTGCAGATGAACATAAAACATATCTTGCATGCTTTGCAAAATAGAAGATGATTACAGTTTGGTAATAAAACCCACAAGAAGTTTTTTTTTTTTTTACATTCTGAAACCACTGAGATTTCACTACAGTGATAGATAAGTTAAATGTGCCACTTATGTAATATGGATTAGTTGCTGGACACCTCAATTAATATAGGAGATATTAGCTTTTACTGTCTGATAAAAATTATTTTCATATTTACTCATAATCATTATTTCTGATACCAGATTCAAAATATAATTTATTAAATGTGTATTTATATTGCCTTTCTGACAAAACCACCAAAGTATAGTGCAACCAATGTAAAAACTAGCAATTAAATAATTAAATAATGAGCTGCTAAAAGTAGCTTTTAAAAGCCAGATTTATACTCTGGTTTCTCTTCAGATCTTATAAATCTTTCACCCTTTTAAAAGCCAGATTTGGAAAGGTGTCTTAATACCTTTTGTAAAATCTGAAAAATATTGGTAATTGTACCTTTAAAAATATACATATTTTTAAAAAAGAAAAAATAACTTTGAAAAAAATGCTTTCCACAGTTTGGAAATTGTGCATTTAAAGCTATTTCATGCACATCCAACAAATTGGCCTTTGAAGTGAGATCTTATTAATAGGACAGGTAAAATGAAACTTTTAGTCTGTTTATCACGGCATGAGCTTAGAAGAACTCAGCACATTTGCAGACCATCCTGGCAAATCAGTCCATTGGGTCATGAAGAATTGGAATAAGCAGCTGCACAACATCAAGCATTTCTTAGAGGGGAAAGGTCTTAAGCCATTTAGGGATTGTACATTTAAAGTCAGATCAACGGTTTGATTTGAGCTCAGATGAATAATTAGAACCTAGTGCAACTCTTTCAACATTGCAACCTGATGTTTCAAAGGGAGCGCAGTTGCTTCTGGAAAAGATTCAGCTTTATATTCCCAGTTATTAACTGACAGCACCTCCATCTTGTGTGTTTATAATCTCAGATTGTTTCATCCTCATTCAGCTAGTTGTCAAGTTCATACAGCATTTAGGGGTACTACTTGCTTCTTTGGTATTGAATGACAAAGAGCTGTAGAGTATCATCAGTCTATTTTGGTGGTACTGTTTTCCAAAATTTAAAATGACCTCTT